CAACAAAAGTGAATTTTAGCTTAATGGACATGTAACATACAAGGAAAGGAGAACTTAAATCACTTACACAAACTGAAATCGTTGTGAAGGTAGAACTATAGTGATTATCTCTTGAGCCACGGAACTTCCTCATTTTACAGACTGGGAGAAGTTTACAGGCTCACCAGATAGCGAAAAGAGTAGAATTAACCTCTTTCCCTTAACATTCATATTAAACAAGTAGAAGACTTCTGAAACCTTTAGCAAAAATTGTTACGGGGGAAATTTCCCTCCAAAATTTCATACGTTAGTCACCAAATTCTTTTGGGGAGGGGGGAGGCTACCAGATGCCAGGCCCTGAGCATGGAGTGAAATTTGCCTCAGAACACTAACACATGAACAAAAGGCAGGGATCAGAACTTCTGGGTTGCTGAGGACAGAGATGGCCATTCTTCCTTTTCCACATCCTTCATGGTTAAGTTGGCAACAATGCACGTTAATTTGGAAAATTTTTGAGGTTGTAAAATGACAGATTTTCTTTTTTGTTACCCTGCTGATAAAACTCTTTAACTCTACTGTGAGAAATTTCCCCTAAATTACCTAATTCAGAGAAGTATTCATCCTTTTATAGCATGTCTGTTTGCATATGTATATGTGCATCTGTGTGTGTGTGTGTTTAAAATCATTTGTTTTAGAGTAGTTTAATCAGTTTTCTTACTAATGGATCAGTAGTATCATCTGTGATATAAAATGATGAATTAGCATTTTAAAAAAATTCATACCAATATATTTTTCATAGGAATAATGTTTTGAAGTGTTGATATTCATTGAATGGATTCTGAGAACATGGGGTATAGTCAACAGAAGGAAACTATGAGAGAGAATCCGCACATACAAATGTGTAAAAGTAAATTATAGATACTTTCATTTTATATAGTTTCACGTACACAAAGGACTTCATAAATGGTACTGAATGAAACTTCCTTCACTAAGATGTTGAAATTTAATAACAAAACACATGCATTTTTCTGTAATTATTAATATTTCATTTTGGTTAGATTATGAATTAAGTAATAAACTTAGCATTTCTGCCTGAAAGATCTAAGGTCTGCTCTTAGGGAATTCAGTTTTAATCAGGAAGCTTCACTGATTAAAATAACTTATGATGTTTTTTTTATATTTCTGCTACCAAGAGAACAAATAGGGGTGGTTTTCTTTTTTTGAAAAGAGAATATAGTTACTCATAGAGCCCAAAAGTTGGCTTTTCCATGTTTTAAATGCCTAAAATCAAAGCAAATATAATGCAGGTCTACAGTCTCTTTTTAATCAGATGTGCTATGGAATTAAGAATTTCTTGAATTTCCAAAAGATAAAATAGAGCATGTACTATTTGCTATGTAATAGCCACAGTTCTTTCACACTAAAACATTTGAATAGTTTCATTAAGCAGGATAGAGCTCTGTTCTGGGGTGCTGAAAGTGCTCAGCCCGGTCACCGTCATGTGGGGCCCCTGAGCCATTGCACCTTAGCACATCACAGAAGCATCTGCAGAACACCCTAGATAATTCTTAGTCTGTCTTCATCATAGTTTCACTCTCAGTCTACTCATTATTTTAACTGGTAGAGATAGAGAATCAGTAGAATTTTTGTGGCAGTCAGTGGTAGCAGGTGTCTTAAAAATGTTTAACCTCTTTGCCTTAGTAATTCTTTTGAGAGCATGAAGGACATGATTCAAGAGCATAGAAAGCTGTATATACACTCTGAAAGCTGTTTATCCTATTTACTTTTAAGATACTAAAATTTTGCTTTTAGAAAAGGAAATAAATACCTAATATTAAATTAGTGGTGTTATTTAATCTTTTTTTAAAAAAAGATTGATTTATTTATGTATATAAGAGCTGGGGTACAGGCCAGAGATGCAGGGGGTGAGAGGACTCACCAGAGACAGAGTGGGGAACAGAACAGGCAGATTGACTGAAAACACTGCTGAGGGGAGCAGCGGGCAAGATAGGAGAGGTCTGCTGCGCCGTGTGGGTTGCTCCCTGGCCTGCTGGGGGTTGAACTCGTGCTGCAGAGGCTGTCGATTGCTTCAGTGTGGTGCTTAACCCTTTGCGCCACCAGGGAGGCCCTTATTTAACCTTTTAAAAGTATAAGAAGTGGGAATTATTGTGACCATTAAAATTTACTTACAGTTACTTATGTATACGGAAAAGCCAGTATGCAGACTGTCTCTATTATTTCAGCTATGTTAAATATACTAAAACGATTGGAAGGAGATACCTCCAAATGTTAACTGTGGTTATCTGTGTGTGTGGTAGAATTAATAGTGATTGCCTGTTTTCTTTTTTGCATTTCTTTCTAGTTTTCAAATTTCCCACAATGAACTTATATGAATTCTGAAATCAAGAACAAAGCCAGTAAATACAAGATACAACACTGCCAATCCTTTGAAATATATTATCTGAAGATATTTAACAGTACATAAGTATTCAATATGCACATTATTTGAAAGACTAACAATTTTGTTAGTCTAACTTATAAATAGAGTGACTATCTTTTATCATTTGTACAAGAAACTAAGGTATTTACTGAAGTGTAACAGAATTGGGTAACATTTATTTGAATTTTATTTTCTAAGTACTTTAAACATATAACCTCATTTGATTGTTCAAACAATACCATGAGTAAATATTGATGTCATATAACAGTTAAGCCCAGATTCCTTTTGCCCTACACTTTGTTATCCATTAAAACATAAAGATGCTTTTTCGTTAAAATGGATGATATAATGCAAAATTTTCAGATTTTATCAAATCTCTTTACTAACCCTAAGTGAATTCCTGAAAGTCTTGACTTTCCCCTTCTGCTAAGAATCATTTTTAGGTGTTATAACTACTATACCAATGTCCCAGGTTCAGAAAAAAATCAAAACACCCACCAATGTATACAGTTATGAGGACATCTAAGCCAGACCTGCCCCCTGTTCACACACACCCCTGTTATTTCCTCACAAGGACCAAGTGCAGACTCCTTAGGGCCTCAGAGCCCTGTGAATCCTTTGTGGTCATACTGAGATGTTATTTTCCTACCTTGCTGTGTTGACACTTGAACTGATGGTACAAAACTGCCGTGAGGGAAGCCGCTCAGTGCTCTACTCTTTTTTATGGCATTCTTTACCGCTGTGCAGTTACCATTTAAAACACACACACACACCAGCTTCACTTAAGATTCTTCTTAATTAGTCAGTAAAAATTACTGCATTAAATCGCACCCCTTGAATACGCGTCTCTACTTTCTATTGAATGAAACAGGGCCCATTGAAAGCTCCCCTGTGGCGCCAGCAGGGTTGCATGCCAGGGGTGCTGTGAGCTGTCTCCTTCATGGAACACCAGTTTTAGATGAGAAAAATAAAAGATTTATTCATATTTTGACATGCGACAGGCATTTTTTAGGAAATAAATAACGTTAGTCCATCACTTCAAGGAGATTACTGTTGCCATTGATTACAAAAAAATGTTTTCAAGTGAAAATCAGAATTTAGGAAAATTTGCATCTGCCTGCCGCTGTGAGCTTGACTTTTCCGTGCTTAAGTTATCTGATGAGGTCAGGTGGTATTAATTATTATACTTTTCTCAGTATTGTGTAATGAAACACTTGGACGGTCTGTGTGACATAGTTACTCACTGTGTTGCTTGTGGCCGGTGCCTGATGTACAGCCAAATCCTGGGTGGGTGGAAGATTATCCCAAGCACAGGGTGGACTGCTTGGGATTCCATTCCACAGTGCACTAAGTTAAGGAACTAGCACTTGTCAAATTTGGGTTTAGTAACAGAAGGAAATAGCTAGTTTCTGTGTAAGGCCAGATTTTCTTCATACTTCAACCAAATAATCTGTAGTAGCAGTTCAAATGCAGAAGCATTTGTCTGCCATTAAGCTATGCTAAATATGGTAACATGTTGTGGGTTGATTGATTTTTTTTTTTTTAACGAATTAATATTTGCTAAAGTTTGTCATTCTTAAGTTCTGACAGGATAAATGCCAGTAGCTATGACCTCATAGACAAATGGTTCTGCGAGAACTCAACAATCTTAAAATGTGTAAAGGTAGCCTGAGGCCAGAATATTTGGAACTGCTGCCTTATGGCCTTGTGACTCAAAGTGCGGTCCCAGAAGTCACCTGAATTGCAGGTGACTCCCCTCTCTCCATCAGACCTACTGTTGGGTGAGGTCTTCAGGGGGTTCTCCAGTATCTGGAGGAAGCCCTACAGTCAGGACTGGTGGGAGCAGCCTGGGTAGGCGGAGTGAGTGGTGCAAATCCACAAGAAAGGGAAAGAACTGGAAGACTCCAAGACAGAGCCCGCATTCCCCTCCTACAGTCTGTCCTTTGTTCAAGTCTGTCCTTCCAGTATTCTCTTACCGTATTCTACAAGTTTGATGTTCGCAGTGGTGGGGGGTCTAATAGAAATCTGGACTCACAAAGCTTGGACCTCCAGCCACTCGGGAGAAGATGGCCTCTTGAGGCCCAGGGCCTGCAGCATCACAGACTGCTGTGCAAGGTGTGTCTGTCCAGGCACATGCTTGTTACCGGAAGAATTTAAGGTGTTCTCGTCTCATTTCACCTCATCCCTGCTTTTATCTTGTCTCGATGATATCCACCGTTGCATAAACTTGAGAGAAAAATACAGGCAGAAAGAATCCCACTTGAATTTTAATTGTAGATTTATGTTTATCTCAGAAGCAGTTTTTACCTTTTAATTACATCTTCCCTCTGGACACATAGTTATATCAAAAAGCATACATGTGATCTTTTCCAAAGAGAGGATCTCTTGGGGTGTCACGTAAAGCACTGGCGATTGCAAAGGCAGGCCTTTTAAACATTTCAGTGGGGTTAGCTGTTCACAGTGAAATTAGTGACTAAACAAGGTATCTGGATTATGTGTTCCCACAGAGTTTAGTGTGAACTGTTGTGACAAAAATCTCCTATTTCTAAACCCTAGTAACTATATATTTTCTTATTTTTAGGGTGAGTCTGTAAAATATTTCCTGGATAACTTGGATAAACTTGGAGACTCGGTAAGTTTTCAACTGAATCTTTATGTTTATTGCCATTTGAAAGCACTAGGCAGGCTGTCGATGTTAAAAAATATAGAAAAATTATTTACTTCAGCTATCAGTTTCTGTCTTTTTCCTAGTGACAGTTTTCTGACTCTTCTTGCTTCGTGTTGGAGTGATTGGTAGCTAAGAGTATTGAGTGATTTCAAATTTTTTTATACATATTCAACCTATTCCACTAGGGTTTTTTTTTTTTTAAAGATTTATTTATTTATTTATACAAGCACTGGGTACAGTCAGAAGCGCGGGAGGGTGAGAGAATTCACCAGAGCCAGAGCGGGGAGCAGAACAGGCAGACTGACGAAATACACTGCTGAGGGGAGCTGCGGGCAAGACAGGAGAGGTCTGCGCGCCATGTGGGACTCTCGCTGGCGGCCAGGGATTGAACCAGCACTGCAGAGGCTGCGGACAGCTTCGCAGCCCAGCGCTCAACCTCTGCGCCACCAGGGAGGCCCTTCAAATTCTTTTTTAATGAAAAGTTAATTTTATGTTCAGACTGCCTTTTTTTCCTTCTGTTATCCAGATCTGTCATTTCCTTGAGTCAGTGGTCTGTACACTATTTCATGAAAGTAAAACTATTTAAAGACTTTTGTGTTTGAAATGAGATTGTACATTATCTGTTATACTTAAGTGTCTTTTGTATTTTTTTAAGAAACAGAAAACAGTGGGTTGATTGATTTCTAAACTCAGCAAATGGTATTTTCCAGCGGCAGCTCTCTGTGCCAAGTGACAGTGTAGGGGGCCAGGCGAGAGGTGGAGGCCTGCGAAGGGCCGCGGTGGTGTCAGAGGAGGACACCTAGAGAGGGATGTTAGCTGTTCCTGTGGGTGTCCATCAAGGCAGCGGCACTCAGCTGGCACTGACTGGCACTGGGCACCTGCACTGTCTCTTTTCCAATGAGACGCTTAAGACTTTGCTGCAGGAAAGGTTGCTGCTGCTGAAAAATGTTTGCAAGTCATTGTCATTTGTTACTACATTAAATTTAGTCAAGCCTCACCTCCCACCTCTTCGAGCAAATTTCTGTTACAAATTTTATTAAGGCCTTATGTGTTCTTGAAGTTTTTAACAAAAACATAAGTGAAGGAAAACTCAAAATGAAACCTATTACAAGAGGGAAAGTAGCTTGCTATTACTAATGTGCCTCGGACGTGTGGAAAAAGTACCTTCTTTTGCTCTAGCAGGATAGTGTTTGCATTTTCCCTGTATTTTGCTGAAATTGCATTCCACGGGCCTTAAACCACTATTTTTTTTCCCGCCTGTTACCTGGATTCAGGTATTCCAGAATCGGTGTCTCTGTCATTTTCTGTTGTCACTCAGTTCCACGTCACTGACACTTGCCAATAAGTGTACCGTCTCTGTCCGGTCACATTGTCAGCCTTCAGAAAGAGTTAAGCACAGGCCATATGCAGAGAAACCTTAGTAGTTAAACTGATTTTTAAAGAGCTACTTCATGTTTCCAATCCAACTGGTGCTGACATGATCCACTTTTCTCAGTTTCCTCTCAGTGTCCTTCCTTGAGGACACTGTTCAAATAGGTCCTCCCCTGTTGTTCTCGGTGTTGGCCCTTGTTTCTTCCTTCATTGCTGTTAATACAGTTGGTATATGTTTACTTGTTTTTGACCATCTCTTTCCTTAAGGGCAAAGAACTCACCTCTTGATTGGAAGAGTTGAGTTCTGGATGCCACTGACGGTGCCTGGCATGGAGTTGGCACTCACCAGATAGCTTTTGAGGAAGTGATTCTTGGACAACTCCAGTCAATTTGAACTAGTTGCTTGGAGTCTTATTTTAAGTACAATTCTGAGGCCACATCTGAATCTAACCCAAAAAAGTGGGTGATCCTTCGGTAAAGGAGGGGAGACAATGCCTGAGCATGCTCCGAGTCGGCCCCCATTCTGTGAGCAGCAGACAAGCCACAGGATTGCACTTGCTAGTGTACACATCATTCGGATGTGCCGGCTCCATGAAGCCCTGCTCTGTGTGGAGCCCAAGACCCTCTGGGAGGCGGGGCAGCCCAGGAGTCAAGGACATAGGCTCTTTGGCCAGACCACCTGGATTCCAACCACAGCTCCATCACCGGAGGCTTCTCTGTGACCTTAGGCATCTCTCAACCTTCCATTTTTTCATCCACAACAAGAGTGTAGTCCGAGAACTGACCTTGCAGGGTTGTGGACCAATTACATGAAGTAAACCCTTGGCTTAGTGACCTCGGGCTGCCATGACAAAATGCTATAGGCTGGGGGACTTAGACAACAGAATTTTATTTCTCACAGTTCTGGAAGTAAGAAATTCCAAGATCAAGCTGTTGGCATGATCTTTTTCTGGTCAGGGCTTCGCTGTGTCCTTGCAGTGCCTTTAGCTAGCACGTACTCATGGAGAGGAAGATTTCTCTTCTTTTTCATTGAAGGCCACTGGTCCTCTGTAAGTCCCCAGTCTTACGACATCATGTAACTATAATCACCTCCTAAAGCCCTCTCCCAAAATCCCGTCACACTGGGTGCGGGGGTAGGGAGTGGAGCTGAGGAGGTGGTTAGAACTTTCAGCATGTGAATTTTGGGTGAGGGGTCACAGCCCAGTCCAGAAGAGTGTTTCACATGAGAGGAATTGCAGCCCACCAAGGCAGGCGACATGGGGCACATCTGTCTAACAAAGAAAGTATGACGTTCTTGGCCCTAATGTCAGAACAGCCTTCTAGAGGCTGTCCACATACAAGTGCATGGACAGGTCTGATGCCATGCTCTGTTGAGCTTGCACAGGGCAGAACAGTGTCCAGGTCCAGAAAGCATGGAGTAAGGAGCGTCATGAAAACCAGTCAGCAGAGTTTGGATCTCATGCAGTAAGGAACCTCACTGTATGTTCTGCACTTGTGGTGCAGGAGGGCTGGCGTGGGAGTAGCTTGGAGCTGGAACCAAAGCAAAGACATGGTTGCTCACACCTGAGATGAGAGTGGAGACAGTGGCAGTAAAGAGGAGATGGTAAAGAAGACTTGGGTTGTTGGTGGGCAGGAGGTAAAAATGAAAGCGTACTGATCAGCTGGACTCGGAGGAGTTGGTAGAGAAGGCAGTGAGTTTCCTTAATACATGTGTTGTGTTTGTGAGTTTGTGCCCATCTGGTGGACACTGAGAAATGAGAGGCTGCAGTGGCAGTTTACCTGACTGTGGCAGACTTTGATTCCCCCTCTTTACAGCAGTGGCGGCGTTGGTGACCAGCGCGGGAGGACCAGCTGCCCTAGTAACACACAGACTGCGTCCCAGGCATAGAACTCATTTATTCCTCATAGTACCCTCAGGATGTTAATTTCTATATTTTATAAATGAGGAAATTGAGACGCAAAAAGGTTAAGTGACTTCTCGAAGTCACACAGCTACTGTGTGGAGAGCTGGCTCTAGAATTCAGTCCTATCACTGTTGCTCTGCCAGACCATTCAGCGCTTGATCACATTGTCCTGTGTTTTGTGCCTCATATGAATTACCTTTAGTTTCCTAACCGAGTTGGAAACCACTTAAGGCAATAATAGCTTTATTTTTATGGAATTAGGAAATTTGGAAAAGTCAGGTCTGGCATATTTCTGAGGCAGCTGGCACACACACTGAAGATTGGTACCATCTTTCTGGAAAGCATTTGGGCATTAAGTGTCCAAGGTCATCCACATATTCATAAGCCTTGACCTCGTTATCTTAGTCCTGGTTACCCTCAGGAAATAGTTCAAAAGAGACTAAGAAGTATCTAAGAAGTATGAGTATGAGAATTTTAATTGCAACAATTCTATTAATTAAAACAAAAATTGAGAACACTGTAAATGCCCACGAGTAGGGGAATGTTTATGTAAATTATAGCACATTAATCCATTTGATGGATTTTATATTCCTCTAAGGTGAAAGATGACTCTGCATGTGGAGCAACAGTTCATGATACAATGTTAAGCAAAAAAGTGTGAGCAGGCTAAAAAGGATGGGTCGGAGGGTTCTAAGGACAGTAGGTGGGGGAGCAAAAGCTGGAAGGAAACATGGGAACTAGAGTTATTAGGGACCTAGAATTAATATGTGGCTTTGCATCACAGATGACTGAGAACTGCACACTTTTTTTCTTCCTAACTCCATTGCATCCTTTTGAGGAGACACGTACTCATATTGTAGTGACTTTCCAAAGTCATCTTACACTACTTGGAGAGGTGTAAAATGGAGCATTGTGAGTAACAATTGGCATTTTTCAAAATTTTGCCTTGATTTTTAAAGATCTTTTGACCTTGATGAGCATTTAAAAGCTCTTCTGTTCAGTTGCCAGAAAGCAATGTTAAAGTTCTGGAAAAATACTAGCTGAGAAGAAAGACTTTATTACTCAGCCTAAGGAAGTGTGATCAGGGGCTAACCGTGACCGCATGTGCTTGGGGCCTGGTAGCTCACTGCTCCAACTCTCAGGAAGGGCTCCTGTGAGCCTTGTTGTCCTCTGCAGCAGGAAAGGCCAAGAGTGGGCACCTTCGTTTCACAGGCAGAGGTGCCGCCAGGGTAAGTGGTTACTTATATCAACAGGTGAGAAAGCTGGAAACTGGCTACTTAGACTGTTCGCTGGACACAACCCATAAATGACCACAAGGAAACTTAGTTGGTTGGTTATAGAGAGAAGGTGTTTTCCATGCATGTCTTCTAGCAGCGGCAGTAACGGAATGTTAGTGGAATGTCTATGTCGGGGCGGTGGGAGGAGGGGAGGGAAGTGGTGTGGGGGTGCACAGTAAAGGATCTCTCAGAATAGCCTAGAGGGGGGCAGGCCCTTGAACAGGGAGGTGATGGGCATGTGTTAGCATTTCAGACCCCGTGGCTTCTGTTAGCAGCAGCGAGGCGCAGGTGGATGCGTGAGCAGAAGGGCTCTGGCCGGAGCTAAAATGGGTAACCGTGAACAGTAATAATGAAGGTGGAGATAGAGCAGCGGGTGGGTAGAGCGGTAAGGACAACTGGTGGGTAAGGCTTGAATTTAAAATTGAGTAGTGCTGCAGGCGTGGAAACTGGCAGGTGCTGCTCTTTTGCTGTGAAGTTGGAAGCAAACCCGCGTGCTGGCATTTCAGCATAAGGGGGCATTTCATAAGGAGGACGATCACAGTATTGAGTGTTAATGTTATATTAAAGCACTGGTTTTTGCATATTTTATTCACTGGACAACCTAGCGATACATTAAAAATTCCAATTATTTCTGGATTACTAAGTATAAAACATTTTTTTTTTCTCTTCCAGGAGTACATTCCATCACAACAAGACATTCTGCTTGCCAGAAGACCCACCAAAGGTATTCACGAGTACAGCTTCGAAATTAAAAATGTTCCTTTCAAAATGGTTGATGTAGGTGGTCAAAGGTCAGAAAGAAAACGTTGGTTTGAGTGCTTCGACAGTGTGACATCGATACTTTTCCTTGTTTCCTCAAGTGAGTTTGACCAGGTGCTTATGGAAGATCGACTGACCAATCGCCTTACAGAATCTCTGAACATTTTTGAAACAATCGTCAATAACCGGGTTTTCAGCAATGTCTCCATAATTCTCTTCTTAAACAAGACAGATTTGCTTGAGGAGAAAGTACAGATTGTGAGCATCAAAGACTATTTCTTAGAATTTGAAGGAGATCCCCACTGCTTAAGAGACGTCCAGAAATTCCTGGTAGAATGTTTCCGTAGCAAGCGCCGGGACCAGCAGCAGAAGCCCCTGTACCACCACTTCACCACGGCCATCAACACGGAGAACATCCGCCTCGTGTTCCGGGACGTGAAGGACACGATTCTCCATGACAACCTCAAGCAGCTCATGCTACAGTGACACACACCAGGCTTGCCTTTTTTTTTTTTTTTTTTTTGTCTCCTTGATTTCTGTTTGTTTTGTTTTTTAAAATAGCAGTTTACAACAGACTTAGGAAAATCTTGATTCTCTGTTTGACTTCTTGGAAATCTTAGTCCTTCTGTGGACTTTGGTTTGTGGCGGAAAGCTGCTGAGCAAGCACATCAGCTTTGATCTCTCGCCGGGGCTTCCATTTGATGAAGTTGTCATTTCCTGCCAGACCTCACTCAGACTAGGTATAATCCAGGCTTTAAATTCTGCCACTTTTGAACTGAATTCTCCCGTCGTGCCAAGTGTAGAGGATGTCCTTACATGTTTGTAGATAGCGGATAAGAATGTGCAGTTCTAAAACAAGATATTTTTGTCTGCCCTGCACAGAGCGGCAGCTCTCGTGCCTCACTTCACAGCGACCTGTCTTGAAAGGGCTATTGGAAAAAAGCTCAACTATCTATAGGTTGACACACATTTTGCCTTTATGTTTTTAAAATTGCTTATACAACAGTTTTTTTTTTTTTTTTCCAATTTCTGTGGTTTCTGAAGGTAATATTCTTAGTGTTTTAAAGTTTACATAAGGATTTCTGGTCTGATGCGCATGGAGGTTCACAAACGGTACGGGGGAGCAAAAGACAAGCAGAGCCCAGAGGTGGTGAGCGATCTGTAGTTTGCCCATGTCCTGCTTCATTGTCAGGTATTTAATGTGCCATATGGGAAACGCTCTGGCCCTCGCAGTAAATGAAACTGCAAACAACTTGATAACAGGGCTTCCAGGGATGGTGTGTGTTTCACGCTGAGACCGATTCCTGCCTCAGATGACGTGGGGCTGGCCGTAGGAAGCCCGTGTCACCACAGACACCTTCCTTTTGCTCCCCCGTCCCTTCCCGTCAGCTCCAGATGGTGACATTGACGGGATTCTTGTTGATCTGAAGCATCTAAAGGCAGTATTTTCCTGTCGGGCTATTCCAGGCATCATTTGAAATTCCTATTTATTCTTGGTGTATCTCTAAGATACAGTGTATGATATTTGTGTCATTACTGCTTATGAATAATAAACAATACATTCTGAGGTACATTCTGAATGTTTTAAGGATACTTCTGAGGGTGGTAAGTAGTAATTTTTCCAGTTCACACCTAAAGATGATTAAATTTTACACCTCCCCCCGCCCACCACTTACCAAATTAAAATGGACCCACAAAAAAGGACGACAAACAACACCCAATATGAATCCATCAGGGTGACGGGTTTGCAGCCCTAGCAACACCGCCACGCAGGCTGTGTGTAGTGCTGGAGCTGGACGGAGAAGCAGAGCTGCAAGGCTGGGGACACTTTGCAAAGTCTGACTGCTCTTCTCCTTTCCCTGAAAGTTGGGATTGAGACTGTGATCTGTCACTTTACTGTATAAGCTGACTGTGTTCTCAGGTATTTTATTGACTAGGAAGTTCTTGAAAGAATGGTCAAAATGATGGAACACCCAACTTTTCCAAGACAGTGGCTCTTGGTGTGTCTTACAGTCTAGTTTGAGAGCAGAGCTTTCAGTGAGCTAAGCCAGGGATTGCTCTTAAGAGATCTGACTTTGCTTTGCATTTGAAGTTCCACCCTCCTCATCCCCACAATAAGTGGCATGTTCATGCCTTGGTAATACCTGAGCCCTGTATCGTATGCAAGTGTTCATAGTGTAGCTCATGCACGGTTGACTACTTCTACATCTAGTGCTTCTTGCCAAAAAGAATACATTGTTTGAATTCACAGAGAATAATTTCAGTGCTCACGAATATCTGAGTATATGCACAGTAACATTTGGACTTTTCTTCAATGGCAAGTCTTGTAAATTGAGCATATCGTTTCATTGAATGGCCAAAATTTTCTTTTAACTCCAGTGAGGGCCAAAGTAAGTGTTCTGTATAGAGAGAAATTTTTAAGTTACAGTTAAGATCTGTGATAGGAACCGCGCAGATGCCTGACAAAGCAGAAATCCCCAAGTTTTCCCATTTTGACTACCACCGAGAATGTAACACACAGATCTGATATTAGTGGGGGCATTTGTGATTTTCTGGCCTGGTGTGTGTGATGTCTCAGAGCCCCCAGTTTTCGGTCAAGTCTAGCGTGCTCGTAGGCTGAGAATGACTCACGCGGCAGTGGCAGCTTATTCAGGACTCGCGGCCACAGTCAGGTTCCGTCTGGGGGCTTTAGCTGAAATTCATTATAGGCTGTATTTTTGAACCATTTGAAATGAATTCTAAACCTAGGTCCTTTTGAAGTAACCACTATATGAAGAGGGAGAAGAATTTCCGTGAGCAAAATTGAAAAGGTGCTCCTAGTTTTTTATGCCAGTTTTCCCCCTCTCTAAAGAAATCATTTAAATTTAAAAGTGTTTGCTGTGTTTTTTTTTTTTTTTCCTCCAAGACTTAATGTTATGAGTTAGAATAAAATGTACCTCATCCTCTATTACATTCTGTTCTAAAATCTGAATGTATCTTGGCTTATCCTTAAGAAATATCACACAAGTGTCTTCATTGACCTTGGAGAAATTTATAGTATACAGAGTTGCCTTTTAAATCAAAAACACCATAAACTTGGGCCTTCATTTTTATAGAGAAAGGGATTTTTGTCATGTCTTCTCTGAAAATCTAATTTAAGGTATGCCACTTAAATATTGCTTCTAATAACTTGAATCATTGCTTTCTGCCAAATGTTGTGTTAAATGGAAACCTTCATTTCAGTTTTATTATCTGGAAAGGACCCTGGGTCTAGAGCTAGAGAGCAGGAAGATTGGTTGTACGTTTCATTAACAAATAATTTACATAGTGGATCTCCTCTGGCTACTCTCAAGGGAGGTGGTTTAGGGAAATCCTGTTCAGTTTGGTGATGGTGGTAGGTTTAAAGCAGAAGGAAGTAAGATTACCTCAATACCAAAATGATTAGGAGTATTCGTTTAGATGCAATGAAATCACATGCCCTATAATTTTTTGAAAGAGGAAATGAGTATCTTAACTTCTGATGTAAAGCCAGATACTTGTATTTATGCTTTTGATAAAATGTATTTTCAGCACTAACTCATACCCGGTTATGCCTTATTTATATGAAGAATAAAATTGCCAAGTTTTGTTCTGTAATGTTCTGAAACTCAAGTCTCTATTTGAAAAGTCCTCCAATTGGTGCTTCCATTCTAGAGTGAAACATTCAGACAAAACCCCAAGCCAGGCCTTTTGAGGGACGTTTCTGTCCATTGCAGTCTGTAGCAGTGTGATCCCTGTATCTGTCACGAGGAGGTAATCAGTGTTACTGCTTCATTTCTTGTCTGAGCCCATGAAATCATGCCTGTAAAACTCAGTCACATCTGTAACAAACTCCCTAATAAACCTAGAGAAAGTCACACCGTTACCTTTTTATTTCTTTCACTTTTATTTGAAGAATCAAGAGCGGAAATTTGCACGAGTCTTTTTCAGTCGGAAATCTGACTCAGACCCAGGTCATCTTCTCTCCCGTCATTGCCGCACGCTGCGTTCCGTTAGTCACGGGTGGTCTGTCCACGCGCCCTGCTGCCGGACTAAAAGCACTGATTTTTTTGTTTAAGGATGCGAGCTTCAGGATGCAGGTTAGGCCCAGACATGAGGAAGGGAGGGACTGTGTGTGAGTGGGCGTGTATGGTCTCCAAGCTCCAAATAAAGGAAGTGGAACGTGCGTGCTGCGTTACGGTACGAGGTTCAATTCGGGCTTCATAAACTCGCACTAGGACTGATGTGTAAGTCTAACCTCAACATTGCAGACAAGTTGGACTTGATGACTTTTTCCAGTACCATCAAGTTGCTGTTAGCCTTAGGCCAGTGATTACTAACATGGTTTGAAGTCCGGTGTCTGTCCCACGAGCGTTCTTGTGTGTGTGCTTGCATGTGTAGTTAGCATTTAAATAAATGTGTTCACTCTTGGGACACATCCAGTCTAGCTCTGTGATTTCAAATGTCAGCGCTTACGCGAAACAAAGCATTAATGGTAGGGCCCTGTTTTCTGGGTTAATAGTGGGCAGCTTTTCCAAATCTGCTGTTGACAATGATGAAAATTTCCAGATGGGTGGAAGTATGCCAGGACCCACCTGATGAGTTGTCAGTCATGAACATCATGATAAAAATATACGACTCATGTGGTATATGATTTGGATTAAGGAAGCTTCTTGATCCTATTTCTCACATAGCAAATAATGCATTTGTGATCATATTTCTTACATAGTAAATAATGCATTTGGCCTGCTTACTGATGGTACCAAGGAATACAAGAGGAAAGCGGGTAGGGGTTAACTCTGTGTAACAATGCAACCAATTCTGCCGTTACCTTTTTTTTTTTTTTTTACCTCATCCTGAAAGCAGAATCGCAAAAAGTTTTAAGTGGCTTTTCTTATACTACTCTAAGGTGGTAAGAGCTCAGTTACCCAAGAAGCCTTATCAAAAGTATATTTTGTACAACCTCATAGATACTGTACCTAACAAAACATCATGTTGTATTAGCTCTGTATAAAAGTATTTGTGGCTTAAGATTTTTTTTATACATATCTTTTTATAACTCTCCAGGAATGAAGCACATCTGATAATGGTTGTAAATTTTCTTTCTGTCAGTGCTTTAGTTCAGGATTGGCAATAAATTATTTCTAAAGGCGGCCTAAAAATGGAAAGCAAGCTTGATTTTATACAATGAGTTGCTAGTTCATTAAGTCTTTTTACTTTTGTACATATTTTGCAAACCTTTTGCCTCTTGCTATTAATATTTGCTTTGTAAAAATGATGTTTAATAAACATTTATAAACTCAATATTATGATGTTATTTAAATTAGCGAGTTAGTGTCAAGTAGATAGTTTAAAGTTTGAACTCACAAGTTTCAACTAGTGACTTAGCACAGAAATCTGTCTTTGGGCAGATCGCCAACAATAGTTTGCCTTTATATTGGTCTGTAAACTTTTCCTTACTAAAGATGGAGATGTGGACCTCATCCAAGGAAGTTCCCAGACACTTAATGTGTTTTGACATGGGAATAAGGAAGGGGAGCCGCTCGTTTTTCACTGCTGCTCTCAAAATTGCTGAAACCTCACTAGGATGTTTCTGAGCTTACGGTTTGTCCGCCCGCTGTTATTTCTATTGAAAGGGTGCTTTAAAAACTAACCAGCATGTTACTGTTCACTTTATGTTTCTGTAAACTGCTTTAGATTAAGATTTGCAGAAAATCGCCAACATAGTAGAGTCCCCTGGGCTCCACGCCTCCTGTAGCTCCCCTATTAACATCTTGCATTAGTGGGGTACAGTGGTGGTCATTAATGAACCGCTACTGACACTTCATTACTCACTAAAGCCCATACTTTATTTTTCCTTAGTTTTCCCTAATACCCCTTGTATCCAGATTCCATCCAGGATATCACGTCACCTTTAGTTGTGTCTGCTCTGGGTCCTCTTGGCTGTTCCAGCTTCTCATACTTGGCCTTGCGTTTCACAGCCTGGTTAGTTTTGAGAAGAGGATTCCTGGGCAGGCATTTGGTAGCTTCACCTTCCGTTGGGGTCTGTCTGGGGTCTTTCTCATGACTAGACTGGGTTCTGTGGAGGCCTCAAAGGTAAAAATAGCCATTCTCCTTAAATCAGATCGGAGACACAATTCCACCCGTCTTTTCCTTTGCCAGTTCAGCTAAATGAGCAGTTGTCCGATAACTATTCTTAGCTGGCATTTATCGAAAGGTGAGCCTGTCCTTCCTCAAAGCAGAACGCAGGACCTCACCCCGCAACCGGAATTGCAATGCAGGTATGAAGAAATGCCCAGGGCAGTGGCTGTTCCCAGACTGGTTGAGTACAATTTCTGGCAAATAAAATTCTGTGCCAAGGCCTCGCCTTTCACATGAAAGTTCACGGTTACTCCCAAGGAAACTTGGACTTAGAATTATGGACAAATTGGACATGGCAACAGCTTTTCTGTGAGAGTTCACATCTTAAATGGAAACAAAATCCACGAGTACCGAATCCCCGAAACAAACCAACAAGTATTTTTTAAACAAAAAAACACAAACCGTTTCCTATGCTATTGTTGCATCAAGGGAATCTTCATCTCTGTCCAAGGAAATAGCTAAAAGTTAGAGCCTGGCATCTTCGGGGTCAGTTGGCACAATCCCATGTGGCTGGCCTGGGGGCTTGCTCCAGCGGACCCACTCCATTGTCCACACTGTGGCTTGTTGAAAAAGAAAAGAGACTTTGCTGTCTTGTGCATGCAGAAAACTGAGTTGGGAGGATAAGCCAGAGGTTGGTTTGGGCGACAGGAAATTGGACAAATTCTCAAAAACTGAACGACCCAGGCCAGCATTTTAAAATGCAGAGAGCCATGTTCCCTCAGAAACCAGTGGGGCACCCGAAGTACAGCATTGTGTGGCGTGGGGAGTATCTGAAAACACCGCAGCTACATTTCACAAGCCCCTTTTCAAGTTCACCAGGACAACAAGTGGCACAAACAAGTATTTGTTACAAGCTATTCAAGGCTCCCTGTCCGCCTGCTTCCAGGAATACTGACGAAGTATTCCTGGGACCAGCTACACTGAACCAGCTACAATGAACAGCTACACTGAGTGTTGATTTTTTTTTTCCCCCCCTTAAAAGTACATGCTAGGAAAACATAAGCAATGAAGTCTTTTTAAAAACTTGACCAGGACCTCAGGGTAAAGTCTCAGCACTATGACCAGGACGGCCTGAGTTCGATCCCCAGCCAGGGAGCTACCCACATGGCGCAGCAGACCTCTCCTGTCTCGCCTGCTGCTCCCCTCAGCAGTACATTTCAGTCCATCTGCCTGTTCTGCTCCCCACTGTCTCTGGTGAGTCCTCTCACCCCCCAGTTCTACACACAAAATAAATGAATCAATAAAATAAAAACTTGATCATTTTCTTCTAACTTAACGACAGCACAGCTTTGGACTTGGGCTTGATTTTCTATCCCTGTCAAACACTGAAGAAGAGAGGGAGTAGGCACATGCAATTAAACTGAAGGCTAAAACACTACTGACCTTGGGAGAGAAAAAATACAGTTGGTTTCTTTTTCTAGTATTCTACATGGAAAGTCCCAGTTCTGGTAAACGGCCTGAGATAAGCTGGCTGGTTTGTGCTAATGCCTGCATGCATGCATCCTAACGGTATCTGGAAAAGATCACCACAGCACCGTGATGCAGCAATCTTGATGAAATGGCATATTGAAGCCAACTTCCTGCAGAAAATGCTTTCATTTATGGAGCAGGTTATAGTTTGGGGTGAGGGCAGGTTATGGAGCAAACTAGTTTGGGGTCGGGCCCGGTGGGGTGGTGGTGGGGTGGGGGGTGCCATCCGTGTGAAAGAGAAATGCATTCCAGACGACAGGCTGGGCACCCGCGGTGAAGGCTCCTTCCTTTCACCGTTGCCCCGCACAGCACAACCCTTCTATCCAGCGCCCTCAAAAGAATCACATCAAGTCCCTGCTCTACGCAAGTGCCGCATCAACTCCCTTTCCAGCCCACCCTTCCAGCTTCCTTTAATCCAACTAATCAAGACCCACTTTCCCCCATGTTACTTCCCTCCGCTTCTCTGTGCCAGCATCCACATCTACTCATTTTCCCAGGCCCAGCCCCGAGGAAGCTTTCTGGATTTCCACCCAGCCTGAGGTCAGGAACAATGTTGTTCCTTTGAGTGCCCGCCCCACCTCGGTCCTCCCGGACACCAGTAAGTTTGATTCCCTGAAGGCAGTGAGCGATCTACCTTATTTTAGGGCTATTTATATTTAAGGCTGGTGCCTTTTTTTAAATACTTAAAAGGGCAGGTTTATTATAAAAAGGGAAGGGAAGTCAAGGATGCTGCTCAGACACTAGCTGGCAGGAAGAGCTACCCCTAAAAGGGCCAGATTTGCTAAGAGAGGCCTGTGGTCCGAGGCGGGCAGTCCTGGGGTAGGTAGAGGGAGGGTTGCAGCTGCTGCTGCAGGGGGTGGGAGGTGTGGGAGGCTGGTGAAGAGCGGCACCTGCGTAGGCACAGGCGGGAGGAGCGCTGCTGTTCCTCTGTGACGTGAAGGCCGCGCAGATGCCCTTGCTAAGCCCTTGCTGACCTCAGAGGGCTCTTAGGAGACTCACAGTTGAATCTGATAGCCTGACCGCAGCAGCACGGGGTGTGGGGGCAGAACTCACCCTGCAGTGTGGGTGCCTGCGGCTCTCCAGGTGACTGTCACTAAGTCACTCTGGGAGTGGCCTGATTAGACCAATTATCTGAGAAATAAGCAGACTGAGCTAGATGGCTTCTGTGTTTACTGCTTCAGATTCTCAGAAGCCTTCTGAGTATTCCAACTTGGGGTAATTGTTTACAGTACAATACAGTTATGGTCTATGATACAAACTTCCTAAGATAAGGTCTTGAGATTTTCCTGAAAGTAATAAAGAAAGGGGCTTTGTGGAAGAAATTATAAGTACCTTGTAAGCCTTAAAATCTGGAGTTTTCAATGTTTTTCCTGCACGCTTCGTCATGGGAGATTTCCGTGCAACAAGCCATAGACAGTCAAGGTCATGTTAGTCTTGGCATCTGCTGGTCTCAGAAGCTCGTTGGACTCTATGGAGTTACTTGAAGGGCAGATCTGTTTGTCCGATGGTCACTGTCTTAGTTCAGTCCAAGTGTCATTGAGCGGCTTACAAACAACAGGAGAGTATCTCTTGGTTCTGGAGGTTGGATCGGGGCTCCGGAAGGGTCGGGTTCTGGCGAGAGCTCCCTGTGGGTGGTGGACTGCGGCTTCTCGTCACCTCGCTTGCCAGAAGGAGAGCTAGTTGTCTGTTGTAAAGCCATTAACCCATATATGCGGGCTCTATCCTCATGACCCAGCTCCATTCCAAAGTTCCCACTTTCAAATACCATCATCATGGGATTAGTTTCAGGCTTGGCTTGAATCCAATTTGATTTTCTGCCTCTTTTTTTTTCTCCATTATTCCCCTCAGTGATGGGTGCAGGGGTAGGAATCCAGCCACTGGGGGACTCTCTGGTGGCACAGAGTTTGTTAAAGTCTTAGCGCTATGAAGCTATCACCAGCCACTAAGGCCTGAGTTCAATCCCTGGCCAGGGAGCTGACCCACCTATGGCACAGCAGACCTCTCCCGTCTTGCCACTGCTCCCCTCAGCAGTGTATTTCAATGGATCCACCTGTTCTGCTCCCCACTCTGTCTCTGGTGAATCCCCTGAGCCCCCACACTTCTGGCCTACACCCCAGTTCTTGTATGCATAAATAAATAAAAATAAATCTTTAAAAAAAAGAAGAAGAATCCTGCCACTCCCAAGAATCTGTGGTTCCATACCTTTTTAGGTATAAATGTTCTCCACATGACACCAGAAACTCTTGGTGGGAAGTCACCCCTCATCTTATTACTCTACTACAACTACTATAAATAATTTTCACGTTTCTGTCTCGTCAGTTTTCCCTCTGTATGAGTCATTAGCATACCATTAGCTTCACTCCCAGTGATAGTTGTTTGAAACATTTGCATGTTTCACTTAGTGTCTGCTTCTAGTTTCCATTTGAACTTGGTGCCCAAATCAGTGATGTAAACAGTTCTCACAATTAACAACAGTGAAGATGTCTGCTTCGTTTTCAGTTCCTACCAATCAGATTACTCCTGAGCCTGACTTTTTCTCCCAGACACCAGTAAGTTTGATTCTAAAGTCAACATTATCGTTGGGGAAATGCAGATCAAAACTACGATGAGATACCATAACTTCACTCCTTTGAAGATGGCTAAAATAAAAGGAACAGATACAAGCAAGTGTGGGCAAGAATGTGGAGAAACTGCAGCCTTTATACATTGCTGGTGAGATTGTAAAATAGTCCGGTCCCTTTGGAAAACAGTTTGGCAGTTCCTGAAGACGTTCATTGTTTGGTTACCATGTGATGCAGCAACATCAGTGCCAAGAGAAAAGAAAACATGCATCCATGCAAAAATGGGTACACCCAGGCTCATACCATTATTATTTTTAAAGATTTATTTTATTTATACAACAGCTGGGGTACAGGCCAGATGTGTGGGAGGGTGAGAGGATTCACCAGAGACAGAGCGGGGAACAGAACAGGCAGACGGACCAAATACACTGCTGAGGGGAGCAGTGGGCGAGACAGGGGAGGTCTGCTTTTCCATGTG